ATTCTATGAATATTCACCTGCAATAAGGCAGCTCTTTTATGAAACATTTGCAGCACCTACAACTGAGACTGAAGACTCACCAGTGCCATATTACTGCTCTGTTGAAAGACGTGGGCACAGATCGTTGCTCACAGGACAAAACAGAAGGGAAAAATGTCCTGGTATACAAAAAGAGGTCTGGCCATATGGAAAGGTAGTGTTGGGGCTCATTACTGCTACTGCAAACCAAGATAAGGGACTTAGGGGTGTTAGCCATCACAGCCTATGGCAATCACATACCTCTAGTAAATCCTACCCAAGAAGACCCAGGCTGAAGCTCCCCAGTGCTCCTATCATCCCTGCAAGCCCAGCCTGAGTCCTTGCACTCACCATGCAGCACAGAGCAAGAAACACAACACTCAAGTTTTCCAAGCAATCACTTCATAGCTTTACCTAAGAGACAGTGAATGCCACAAACCACAGATCAGGGAGACAAGATGCTTAAAGTCAGCTATGATGGACAGCTTTTTATTTCCCAATGTTTTCATTTAACAAAGTGCTACATTCCATAGTTACAGTATGAGGAGTTGTTCCTGTCCCAAATAAAAAAACACAAGAAAGCATGAGGACTGCTAATATCACTCTGTGGAAGCAGTGCAGTCCAGAGAAACCTCACCAGGGCGAACATCTGGCCTTAGAGACACCTTTGAAAATCAGCAGCTGGATAGTGGAGGTGCATTCCATCAGGGCAAGAGCTGTGTGCCAGGCAGGCTGGTTCTTCCCATTGGAAATGGGGCTGGAGATGCCAAAGAGGTTGTGAGATGCTTAGAATAAAATCTAGTTTGTGCTATCAGAAAAATGCGAAAGAGGCAAGTGATGTGTTGAGTCAAGGGATTATTATCCCTGCAGCAAAGTCACTGTCTCAGTTGTGACAATGTCACCACCCACCTCAGCACTCAGGGGTTTGCAGTGCACCCAACACGGAGGATGAGGATGAGGAGGTCAAACTTCTTTTGTCCTCTTTCTTGAAAACAATCTGCTTTTTTGTCAATGCAGAGGTGCAGATTAAATCAGCAGAGTGCTAAACCACTGGAGCTTCAGCTACACCTGAATGCCTCCTCCCCTCCCTGATGCCACCTGATCATTTCAAGTAAATGAATCAAACTGCAGAAGCTGTATAGAGAATATTTCTAAGAGCCCAATCCAAAGTCTACTGGCCTTGGAGGAGAAGGGAAGGAGCTGAACAACACTTGTGCTTTAAGGACCTGCAGAACCTGCACTGACACTGAGGCACCACAGAAAACCCTGTCTGTGCTCCAAAGGCTCCTACAAGCTTCCCTGGGACCCAAGGCTGGTTCTGACTGTCCATTTTGGCTCCATGTTAAGCTGAAGACATGAGGAGCCTCCAGTCTCTGGGGACAGTGCCTGTCCAAAAACAACTATTCAACAGACACCTCCACTTCAAATGGATATCCACTGGGATCTCTGCACTGCTCAGCAGCTCAGAAAGTTGGCAAACAGTAGTCTTCTGCCAAGGAGCAGCTCCCCACCAAGGCACCTTGGTTGAAGGTGTTCAGAGCCAGAGACAGGCCTGGCAGTAAAGACAAACCACAAGCAAAATCTTTGGGGAACTCTTCTAGCTCATACATCTGTCTCCAGCAGAGATCTGCGCACTGAACTGTGCATGCTGCTGGATCTCTCTTTTGGCTACCACTCTCCTACTTGCCCAGTTTGTCCCACTATGCCTTCCATATAGCTGCTCTGATATTTGCAGCTCTTTGTGAGTCTCATTTGTGGCACCACTGACTTCCAGCACCCCAGCCACCCAGGCCATGTCCTTGCCAAGGGAAGCCTGGTTCTGAGGACACGAGGGCACCCAGTTGATGCAGTAAAACCCCATCTGCCTCATTCTGACTGGCAGTATTACCTTAATTCCTTAAGTTCATTACACTGGGGAGAGAGAAGAGAGACAGGGAAAATGATGTTTTCTCCAGAATGCCAGTGTTTCCCAAACTGTGGATTTATTAGCACAACAAAAGGCCATGGCACCTCCCCACCCGCCTTCCCAATCTGTCAAATTGACAACCCATCCATAAAGCTCCTCCTGTGCTGCCAGAGCTGTGGTACTTCAATCAGCAGCCTAGCAGCCTTGCTCAGCCATCCCTCCTCCTCCTCCTCCTCCTCTTGATTGGCCCAGCAGCTCTGTGCTTTCTCAGATACTTGACACAACTTGTGCTCCAAGACATGTTCCCTCTTGCAGAGAGCCCAATGCCCTTTGTCACTGCTTATTCTCAGTGCCTCCCATTCTGGATAGCATTTCTGTAAAGCATTTCAAGAACACCTTGCCTATGAGTCTTGTTTCTACCCTGCCTGGCACTGTACATAAAAGAAAAGTCTTTCTGGAAGTGACCTCCAACCTGGAACGGAAAACTCATTCCAGCTTGCAACCCCCATCACTCCTTGCCAGGAATGATCAAAGAGTCCAAGGAACAACATTTCCTGATTCCAAATACTTCAAGATAGTCAGCAATGCTCACCTGGACTATTAACCCCTCTCAAGCACCTCCAAGTGACTTAGGAATGAGAAGGAAATAGGGAGGTGTAAGTCTGGAAGAAAAACTTCATCTTAACTAGGACCAATCACTTATTATGGGAGAAAGTGGCTTTAATTTTGGGTAGGGGCACCTGGACTTAATGGTGGGCTCCTGGTCAATATCTGTTAAAGACATGGGGATGCTTTTAGCAAGGCAAAATTCTCCTGGTTGAAGTTTCAGGAACTAAAAGGGAGAGAGATACACTGTGGAGTCCTGTCTGGGATAGCCTGTCCTGGAGGGATTAGGGTATGAAGACCCCCCAATATGCTGATGGTGTCCCCAGCCTGCTTCCCATGCATTTAGTGGGATGAATGCATGAGGGACCACACACAGCTGTTTGACTGGAAGACTAGCATTAGTAGCAGCATTTTGAAACCAGGTTGTCACACATGTCCCTGTCCAGGTGACTCAGGAGATGTGTAGGTAAGGCTCACCTGGCTCTGAAAAGCACTGACTGTTCAGAGCTGAACACCACATCTGCTGGCTCCCTGTCCAGACAAAGCCCTGACCCTCTCAAAAGAGAACTCAGCCTCAGAAGGGTCTTCTGAATGTCCTCTCTACCTTGCAATTCTACTCACACTCCCATGAGGCATTTGCCATCATTGATATCTACCTTTTACCACCTGATAGGATTTTCCACCTTCACAGGGAATGAAATCCAGTGCCTCCTCCTCAAACTCCCCTCCCTCCCACTTCTTTGAAGGCTCAGTGGGATTTAATCTCCGTAGATGCGTGGTCTGCCCTTATTTCTCTGATCAGGTCTCTGGCAACAGGCACTGTTCCTTTCATGAAGAATGATTCCCCACAGAACAGTGACTCCCACCTCAGAAACATAGATGTTTTGCACAAATGTCAGATTGAAGTGATTCCACAGCCAGAAGCAGAGATCAAGTAATGCAGCCCTTTTTCTAAGCTATTTTGACAGCATTTCTGTGCAAAGCAATGTTAGTCTCCCCTGCTCAGTGCCCATGACATCTCAGGCACTGACTGTCTCCCTCTGTATCCCAGGGCTAGCAGGGCTAACCCAGGCAGCACAGCAGTTTGCCCTCACCCTGGGACACCCTTGGCTTCACCTTCACAACCCCCTGCATCCATCTGTCCTACAACTTCACCTTTCCCCTCACGGCCAAGGGTTTCCAGTGTGCCTATTTCACCTCCCAATAGCAGACATCTCTCCAGCTGTGGTTGCTTTCCCACTCTTAGCCATGAATCCCTCAACACTGACTGTCACCTGCTCCATAACCTTTAGTGCCTTTTTGTATTCCATGGTCTGGACACCAGCTGCCCAGAGAAGCTATGGCTGCTCCATCCCTGGCAGTTTTCAAGGCCAGGTGGGGAAGGGCTTGGAGCAACCTGGGCTGGTGGAAGGTGTCCTTGCCCATAGCAGGGGGGTGGAACTAAATGATCTCTAAGGTCCCTTCCAACTCAAACCATTCTGGGATTCTATGAGACAAGACCCATCCAGATCCCCCAAAGGTGCTGTTGTTCATGCAGCTTTCAGGGGTTGAAAATGCAACTTCCAGTGGGTAGAGGGAACAGACACTCCACTTTCATCTTTATGGGAATGCAACCTTGAAAAGAGATGAGCCAGTAACTCATGCCCTTCAAACAGGAGGCAGAAGCTGAAGAAGCCTCTGACCTGCCTTTTCTCTTACCTATTTGCACACTGACCATAAGCTAAGAGACCCATGCAAGACCACCCGTCAGTAGGTGAGCGCTGGTATTTATTGTGCTGTAACAGACAGTGCTGGTTGAAAATGGACAAGGATTTTTGTGGTGAAATCAAGTGCTGAGGCCATTCCTGTGTGTCTCCAAGCAGCGTGGAGCAGAGCTGAAGGAAGAAAGAAGGGGTGAGAGTCGGGCACCCGAGTGCAGAAATGTGCTTCAAACTGTATCAAGAACACTGTACAATGGGCACTTCTCAGGGTGGCCAGGGATACAGTTCAGAGTACAACTCATTAATTAAGCAGAGCAGCTAATCTTAGCACTAATGAACTCTAGCTCAGGTAACGTAACATTTAAAATTAATTGGACAGAAGTCATTCACAGTAAAGATTTCCATTCCCAGGTTAGGTGAGAGCTATTGTTATGATTAGATTACTGCCAGCCAGGACCAAAACAGTACACCAGGGTAATAGGAAAATAATCATCCATATGGATCAGCTCCAGCTGTAACAAGACGCGCTGTGGATCTGAATGAGGCGTCGGGTGCGATGTGAAATCTCCACTACTGTATCAAAACAAACATCACTGGGTGGGACAAGTAGAGCATAGCATGCCATGTGGCCAGGGGGCACTGGCCCCTGCTCGGTGGCTCAGGGCAGTGGAGAGAGCAGCGATGCAGCAGAAAGTCGCTTGTTCTTCTTCTCCCCCTCCCTCCCTCCTTTGAAAAGTCACAGCCTCTCACCAAGGGCACTGCAGTTCGCTTCAAAATTCGTCTTCAGAGCTGTCGGCTAAGAGCATGACTCGGTCCTGCATGCTGTTAAATTCCCTCTGCTAGGGGAGGAAAAGAAACATGAAACAGCTCCACGTGCAAAAAGGAAATGAAGAAAATTTGGGATCCCCCCGACCCATAACCAAGACCTCCCGAACACTTCAACCCAGACAAACAATATCCAGGCTGCACTCACTTTACAGCCAAAAGGGTGAACAGAAGAGTGGGTGGGACTGGGGTCTCCCTTGGCAGTTTCCATACCTTTCTTTTATGTCTCTTTGAGCCATTTCGCCTTCGGCGATTCATGATCTTAATGCTGTAGAGTGCTCCTAGGATGAAGAGGGCTCCGGCTATTCCAACTCCCACAGGAACCAGCATCCCCGACATGTATCCTGCCTACACGGAAAAGACAGAAGCAGAGTAGCATTCATAAGACCATCCTTTCAGAGTTGTTTTTTACCAGTCTAGGACTGCAACATATCCCTATGCTGCTTTCCTCAAAGTTTATTGGATTCGAGTCCCTATCACCTGCCTGCACAGGATGAGTACCTCCTTCCAGGGGCTAAGCAAGCCCCAACCAGCCCCACTCCAGGACTATGGCTCACTCCCTGGTGATAGCTGTGACCCTGTAGTGCTTGCCTGCCTGTAGGAGAGGGAACAATTTGGGTGAGTGCTGAGATCAGTGTCTGTCAACACAGGTGCAGGTGTGAAGGAAAACCTTGACTGCTGAGGATAGACTATCTCAAGCCACACCAAAGACCTGTGACCACTAAAAGAGTCTCACCACATGCTGAGTACATTAGGCTGAGTGTTGCTTTGAGCTCCCCAGGTACCATCAGGACAAATAAAGGCACAGGTATGGCAGAGAATGGTTTGGGTTGGATGGGATCTTAAAAATCATTTAGTTCCAATCACCTGCCATAGTTGACCTCCAAATCACAGAATCATAAAATCATGGTTTGGCTCTTGACTGCTGAGGATAGACTATCTCAAGCCACACCAAAGACCTGTGACCACTAAAAGAGTCTCACCACATGCTGAGTACATTAGGCTGAGTGTTGCTTTGAGCTCCCCAGGTACCATCAGGACAAATAAAGGCACAGGTATGGCAGAGAATGGTTTGGGTTGGATGGGATCTTAAAAATCATTTAGTTCCAATCACCTGCCATAGTTGACCTCCAAATCACAGAATCATAAAATCATAGAATGGTTTGGCTTGGATCACCCTCAAGCTCATCTTGTTCCAACCATCCCTTCCATGGGGAGGGACACGTTCCACTAGCTCAAGTTGCTCCAAGCCCCATCCAACCTGTCCTTGAACACTTCCAGAGATGGGGCAGCCACAGCTTCTCTGGGCAACCTGTGCTAGTGCCTCAGCACCCTCACAGGTAAGAACCTCTTCGTAACATCTAATCTAACTCTGTCCTCTGTCACTTCGAAGCCATTCCCCCTTGTCCTGTCATACCTCCAGTAAAGTGCATTACACACCACCCATCCTACCCAGAGACATGCTGGCATGGGAAAGTAAGTGTCCTGGGATACTAATGTCCTATCTCAGCTTGGGGACAGCAGAAGCTGCTCCCAACACCCACATGCAGGTCTCTGAAGGAGCTGGAAAGCAAAGCCAGGCTGTGTTCACTTCTGCAGGAAGAAGTAGCAGTTTGCCCTCTCCATGCCCAGCCCAGCCTGAGTCTCCTTGGCTTTGCATTCAAAGTCTTTGAACCAAACATTTTTGCTTTGCATGGAACGATTCACTTGAGCAGGACCATGACGTGGAGGGAGGGTGTGCACACCTTCAGCTGACCTTAAGTGGAGCACAGCAAATGCAAAGCAGCTCTAATTCAATTGCTGTGACCCATATGATTGCATTGCCCATTAAAAGAAATATAAATAGCATGACTGATTTAAAATTACACATCTGAACATTTAATAGCCTTAGGAAAATATTCCCAAGTGCTTGTTATTTTATATTTTACTGCTTTAAATGAAAATGAGCCTAAGTTTTAAAGTGCCAAACTGCTTCAGCATCCTCTTCAGTATCCTCACCTAATTCAGGCTGGGGGACCCAGTGGAGCAAGCGAGACAGGTACAGCCTGGCTCCCTCCCTCTGCAGCTCTGCCTTCCTTCTCCCTGCAGCAACAGAGTCCTCTGCTGTGCCACTACAGCCTTAGCCTTTGCCAACTACACCTCCCAAAATAGATTTTACACCTGCCAAGGGACACATGCACCAACTCTGAGGACTATCAGACAGCTCTTAGAGAGCCTCAGCCCATTGCCTACAACCACTCGTCTGCAACTGCACTCCCAAACTGCAACACAGATCCACAACATACACTTACACCATAATTACTTTTCTTCCATAATCCACTGAGTGGGAGGAGGAAAAAAAACTATTTAGGTGCACTGCTCTGCCTTTGTACACTTACCTGGAGAATGAAAATAACTGCTTTCATCTAGGGCAGACACAATGCTAACAAGGGCTGGTTTGCTCTCCTAAACCCCTGCAGATCATCCTACTCAGTGCTTTAAATAAAAACACCTCTGTGTCTGGACCCCAAGGCTTGAGGGATCATCAGCACCGTTCAGATTCCCTAAACACCCTCCCAGAAAACCCAACCCTGTTCAGCACAGGTGCTGGGAAGGAGCTGCATTCAGCTCCCAGGAAAGGAGGTTAGTGAGAACACAGCTAAAAGGCTGTATCTCTGCAAGGCAATTAAGGTGCCTTAATTGGGTGACCTAATTAGTGCAGTGTGGGGTTTTCTATTTCTGGAACTTTGCTGCTGGCACAGGCAGTGACAGGGACTGGAAATGGCTTTGAGCTGCTGCCCAGTTGAGTTTCCATGTCAGAAACCACTGCTTTCAATACAATGAACTCCCTAGTCTGGCTGTGAGCCTTTATCATGCCTGGCCAGCCCATGGCCTTTTGCAGGCTTCCCCCAACACCCGGATCAATGCTTTACACCCCAAAGCCTTGTGATGTGACTCAGATCCAGCCCTTCTGTGCCATGCAGCCCAACTTCTGAGGGCTTCTGCACTTGCTTGATGGAAAAACCCATTCCAGAGGCAGCTCCAAAGCCACATTTTTACCTCTTTCCCACAGGGAAGATGCAGCTTCTTTAGGGATGGTTTTAATTCACCCAATCCATGACTGTGACATTACTTTGAGGTAACAGCAAGAAGACTTCAGAGGAACCTCATGTCCTTTACTCACCATGCCAAATGCCACATGTGAATAGCGTTTGCAGGAGACAAAACCTAAGTCTGTCCCTCACCCATGCTCCTGGCCCTGTGTTCCCCACACCCCTCCCTCTCCCTGGAGAAGGACAGAGAAGGACATAACTCTCAGGGATGGGGCCATCATGTGCTGGAATCCTCTTCTGGATGAAGGGGTTGTAAAACAGAGAGGACAGGGCAAATGAGAGGGCCACATATAACTGGTGCTGATAAACTCAACAAGGAAGAGGAAATGGGGTGAGCAGGTTTATTTGCAAGTGATTGAGGGTTGAGGGTTGGGACTAGATGATCTGTAAGGTCCATTCCAACCCTTAAATTCTGTGATTCTACGATTTCCTACATCAACATTTGGCTGTGAGTGGGGGAGTGGTTTTTGTTGGGTTTTTCTAAGGGAAAATGTGAGCCACGTGAAAGATCCACCTTCATGCACCTGCCATTCCCCAAAGGAAGGAGAGCAAATCTCTCTTTTAAGTGGATACCAGTGGATCCTCAGTTCCACTAGTGCCTGTCTGATCACTGCTACACAGGCCAGGGTCTACCTGCAAGAGGCTGGAACATGCACCCTTGTCTGCAGTAGAGAAGGACAGAGGTGGCCAACAAGGTGCCAACAAGGAAAGAAGTGAAAGCTATGGCTTCAGTGAGAAGACACTGATGTGTTGTACCAAGCTCATGTTGTGCCATGTGTTGGCATGAGCAGGTGACCTGTGCATGCTGCATCCACTCCAGACACCAACCAGCCCTGGTGTCTGCTCTTTACCTTTGTTGGGGAAACCATTCTCTGTCCTTTCAGCGTTCGCTCTGGCTGAATCCCAGGCCAAGCAGCTCTGCTATGAGCATAGACCATACTAGACAAGCTTCCTTCCTAGTGTGGGCAGAAAAGCAGCTCAACAAGGGTTGGGTAGGAACACACCTTAAATCCTTCCACTCCCCAGTCCTGGAAAACAGATCCTCAGACCTCATTTCTCTGTTCTGACTTGGTGTTAAAGTGCAGCTGAAATTTGGTGAGGACCACATGGAAAGGCTAAGCTCGCTGGGTGACAGTCTGCTTAAGCTTACAGATGTATTTTCAGAGGTTCCTATACAGTCATTATTCCTTGTGCCAGTCTTTTTTTGTCTATTGACTCTGATCCTGTTCAAGAACTTCCAAGCCCCGTTGAGTCACAAAATGTTCTTGCCTTAAAATACTACTGTCACCTCATTTCTCGTTTCATGGCTCTGCAGTCAGCACCACAACATTTGGAAAGCTTCACAACTGTTTCAAAATGTTAATATTTGCTCCAGGGCAGCAGAGATTAAAAAGCCATCACTGCCTGTGGCTGGCAAATCCTTGATTCCATGGACCACCCCACTGTGAGGCCAGGGAGAAATGATCAGTGTCTGTTATCTTTTCAGCCTTTCTGTGTTTGCTCATTTTCCTTCCAAGGATTTTCAGCTCTTCTTGCACATGAAGGCAGGAAAGATCTAGTCCAAGAGGTGGTGGCATGGCATGCAGTCTCTTATCAGAGAGGACCACCAGACTCTCCTGATTTGGATCCAGAACAAAGCTTAGCACTTAGAGAAAAGGGATGGAGATAAGTTCCTTATCAGATCCCTGAAAACATTCAAGGTAAGGTTGGACAGGGTCCTGAACAACCTGATCCTGATCTAGTGGAAGATGTCCATGCTCACTGCAGGGGGCTTGGACTAGATGGCCTTTAAAAGGTCCCTTCCAGCCTAAACTATTCTATGGTAAGTTAGGGGGCAATAAAAACAGTAACTCAGGGTGTCTGATGAGGTCATTTTCTGGTGCAGAGAAATCTATCAAATACCTTTCTCCCTCCTTCTGCTCTTAGTTACTACCCATCAGGGATGTGGATTCACACCCCTATATACCAGCAACATCTGGTTCATTTGCCTCCCAGAGAGAATTTTAAGCCCATTCTCAATTGTCTTTATGGAGATAAAGAACTGCACTGACAAGAGTTTATTTATTCCTGCAAGTAAAAATGCTTTTGCTTTTCAAGGAATTAAAACACTGAGGCTCCTACCTTATCTTTCAGCTTCTCCATCCAGCTTCTCACTGAAAAAAATAAGACAAAAAAAAAAGCTGTAATCATGTTACTTATGTTATATTAATTAGTAACAAATTAAAACGATAATATTAAAATAGACATTAATTAACTTGACAAGCTGATAAGACTTTACATTCGATTTCCTCTCTTCTCATCCATGAGAAAGAGCAAATGCAGCACATCAACACAAGAAACCCTTCAAGTGGCAGGCAAGCAGCTCATGTTTGCCTGAGCAACCCACATCTTCAGAGTGATTAAAAAAGGAAGATAAAAACAGCATTCAGGTTGTGGGTTTTTAACCATCACTTCTCATACACACACTGGGGTGTCTGAGGAGAGGAAAACTTTACAGCAGGACTATCCCCTTCCACTGGCCTCCTCCCCATAGAGAGTCTGCCCTCTATTTGGTAGAGCCTGTAATGATGGCTAAGAAACTATTATTCCCTGTCTTTTATTGCTCTGCTTTTCTGTTCTAGTCACTGCTGGCTTTGGGAAGCCACTGGAGGACTAGGATAGCACTGAGGGTGCTAAATCACTAATGCAAGTAAATTTATACTGCCAGCACAGCAACTTTCTTTTCCTAACAGTTAATATAAGTCCCATGAAATATGATACCCAAGAATTAAAATTCTGTAATGTCATGTACTTTGGGATGAAATATGCAGCTAATCTCAAAGAACTGCAAGGGCTCAGCAGTGGGTGCACAAGACATTAACACCACAGGGCACTGGATGTGTCTGCACCGCACCAAGGGCAAAATGCCCACTGAGATCCACTAGGATTTTAACAATTCCTATTCATATCTAAGAGGCAAATAAACACTTAAGTGTTGGAGGTTCTTTAGGGTTCAGCAACTGTGTTTTAAGCCCTGGTGAAGGATCCCCATTTCTCCAGGAGGACAATGCTGCAGGCACAACAGGACTCTTGGATGCACCAATGTCCTTCTGAGGTCCTCCCAGAACGTATGAAAACCCAAAGGTAACAGACCATTTATGGAGTGCTACCTTATTTCCAAGCCTGATTTGTTATAAAAGGTCCTTTCAAAGTCTGCATTAGCAGTATTAGAGTCTGCACATGCCTATACACCACTCAGGGTATCCCTCTGAAAGGAGCCTTGCTGTGAGTGAGGAGGATGCAGCAGTAAATGGTTATTTTATGCCTCAGATACAACACAACAAGTTCAAAGTGATTTGAATACTCCTTTCTTAACTATTAATAACATCACACTTTCCAAACAGAAGGATCCCAAATTACCTACAGGTGAAAATGTGTGAAGCAGGTGCACACACACAAACTCATCTCTGACAGGGAGCTGAGAAAAAAAAAGATGAAATATCCAGGACACAGACAGCCACAGCACTAGAAAAGGACAGGAGAACTACTTTTATCAACTCTTCCCACCACTAGGCCTGGCCTGCATGGACTAAGCTGTAACAAACTCAATTTATGAAGGTGCCATCATCCTCCTCCTCTGCCAGTCCAAGCCTGCATGCCTTGAATGTCACTGCCAGTGGAATACCAGAGAGGAAGGAAACGTGTGGCTCTCCTGGGTGAGGTTTCTCAGCTGGATTTCCAGGTGTAACAGTGACAGGAGGAGTGGTGACAGTGACTCGGTCACAGTAACAGCCACAGCTTCAGAACCACAGGGCTCTGGACTGATGTGCCCTGTGCACACCCAGACAGCAACACATAGACCCACAGTATGTGACCACCACCAGTGAAAGCTGCTGTGATGCTCAGTTGGCCCAAACTCAAGCTAAGCAAAGCCTATTTTTCCATGTCTTTCACAATAATTATAGGGGATCAGTGACCTCATCAATAGCCAACCCACATTCTTGCAGCTGAACAACAGTGCTC